TGAGCCACACCCCCCACCGCGGCCGGGGAACAGTTCACCGCTCCGGCTGCCAGCTTGTGGTCTCACCACGCGCTGGCGGCGACGCCGTGTCTGGGGCGGGCTCGGGCGGCCGCATCTGCGCAGGTGTCGTCCGTCTCTCGTGTAACTTCACATGTATAAAAAACGTTCACCGCCGCGGACGTCTGCGCCGCTTGCGTCGAGGATGTTCTCCGCATGGTGCACGCAGACTGGCAGCGGGTGAAGGACTCCGTCACGGACATGGCCGGGGCCCATGCAAGCTGGTTCCCTAGGGGGCGCAAGGAGATGAGCGTACAGTAGTCGACTTCGAGGTCGCCTGGTGTGCGGGCGGCATCATTGCCCATGCATGTGACACATGGGGGCTCGCAGCCTGCGATGGCGTTCTGGCTGGACGGCGAGCTGGCAGCTACAGGGCCTGCTATTGGGCAGGCTTCGACGTCGGGCGGGGCGGCGACGGCGATGGCGGCAGCGGCGAACGCGGCGGCGGCGGCGGCTGCGGCTTTGGCGGCGGCGGTGGCGGCGGCGGCAACAGGGGCAGCTGCTGCTGCGGCGGCGGCGGCGGCGGCGACGGCTACGGCGGCGACGGCTGCGGCGCCGGCAGCGGCAGTGGCGGCAGCGGGGGTGTCAGCGGCGGCAGCAACGGCTGTGGGGACAGAGGCGGGGGCAGCTTCGGCTGCGGAAGCGGCGGTGATGACGGCGGAAGCGGGGCCCCCGGTGGTGGCTGGGCCGCTGTAGCTAGCTCTGTGTGGGGCACACAGTTGCTGTACTTTTCTTTAGCTTCATGTACTCTGACATGTGTTCATTTTCTACATGTCATTCCTCGGTCTCGCATCAAGCGCGGTCTCGCACGGGCCCGGCGGGCGTGCCGGCCTGGCAGGCTGTTTCTTGTCCTGCATGGATCGTGAGCTCACTCCCCCTCGGCCGGGGCCGCTTTCGAGGTTGGGGGACAGGGCTGGCCAGGCATCGGCCTTCGGGCCCAGCGATTTTGCCGGTTTTCCCCGCAGCCGCAGCCTTGCTCACGGTCCCGCAATGATCCGGGGGGGCCTCGCTCTGGCTGCCAGCTTGTGGTCCCACCACGCGCTGGCGGCGACGCCGTGTCTCGGGCGGGCTCGGGCGGCCGCATCTGCACAGGTGTCGTCGGTCTCTCATGTAACATCACATGTGTAAAAAAATCCCTGTGCTTCGTGAGGGGGTCTGTAGCTTGCCCAGGAAAGGTCACAGAGGGCCGGGCTCTTTGTGGGGGGGTTGACTCGCCGCAAGCTGAAGCGGCAAATCAACAACCC